TTGTGTTCATAAGTGATTTGTAAACACAGTTACTTGTTTGTAAAGGAATTCTTACCTTCTTGTGTTGTCCGCAATTGTAAAACTACTTCTAAAATATCGTAATGTCCAACACCCTATGTTCCGCTTGTTATGTTACCTCATCATTCCGAGCTAACCCGTTTTTTAGGTTAGACTTCCTAAAGGTTATAATTAGTATATAAAACTTTTTTCAGAGTTATACTATCGCGAACGGATACTTTACTTATAATAGCATATCAACGGTAAGTAAAGTAAGTATGAAATTAGAAAAACTTGCAGGTTTCGGTGACTCGGGTATAATAAGACTGACCAGAAGGAAGGTATACGATCATAGAGGATGAGTGCTCGGAAGGTAACTTAGGATTCCCTTACCAGCACATATCGCTGAAATAGTCCCCTTCTAATACACATTACACAAAAGGTTGACAACAATTGACACAAGGAAGGTTCTTTAAGTGTGATGTAAACACAGGTAGTTTGTTGACTTATATTACTGAATAATGATTAATCTTTCGTACAAAATTCAACCGTTTATGTACGGGAAAAATGAGTATAATGTGAAATAGAACTTTAAATTTTAAAGAGTGGTACAGCCGGAAATGAGACACGATGTCGTGTGTCGCCCGATTCCCTAAATGACGTCGAGGTTTCGAAGTGAGAAGGATTTTGGTGAAAGACACTACGTTCGGGTCCTAAACCTTTTTTTCTTTTTTTTATCTCTTCGACAATTCTGGCGTCTATTCGTTCCGAAATTTCGGTATTTCGTTACATAATAATTGTCGTGTTTACATGTGATTTGTGTGAACATTTTATGAGTTTTCGTCTCGTCTACAATCTTAATGCGGTCGTCTCCCTCGTCCCACCAGTCCACTCTACGACTCTTGGACGAGTCTCACGTACCAAGTTGGAACCCTCGGGTGTAGTGCGCGAGAACCGTTGCCTGTCGACAACTGGACTCAGAGCGTTACAGTGGAGAGAGAAGTCGGAGTAGGTGAGCACGACGACGAAGGCCTTGAAATGGCTCCACTTTGTAATCGGGACAAGAGGACAACTCCTAACATGTTTATCTTATCCAATTGATAACTGTCCCCCCTTTTCGGTTTCTTTGGTGTGAAGTGTGTAACCGTCTGAATGTCGTAGGAGTCATCTAAGAGAACATCTAATTTGGAAGTGACGTCGATCGATGTCCAGAACACTCAGCCCTTAAGTAAGAACGCCAGAAGAGTGAGAACCTTTATGTTCGTGTAAAGAGGTTTTGTAAGTTGGTGTGTCTTTCTATAACTTCTCGATCATGCAGGTTTGGCTTCCTTCAAAAGGAAGTTGCCGCAGCATAAATGCCTACG